AAAAAAAAAGTTTTAGATAGGTGCGCTCCACATTCGCACTTATAGTAAAATTTATATATAAAAAAAAAAATTTTTGTTTACATGACTCGTGATTTGCTAATTAAATTTAAAGTTAAGAAAGCTTTTACTTAGAAAAAATTTGTCCTTTTTCTATTGTCTTTCTCCCATATATATTATTAGAATAGAATTAAATATAAATTTTATTTTGTAATATATAATTTTTTAAAATCTAACCAGACTTATAATTATAACTATCTGGTTCTTTTTTTGTTTATTTTTATTTTCTTTTTTTAATATTAGTATTAGTATTAATATTTTTTCTTTTTTTATTTCTTTACAAAAAGATATTATCAGATTGACAATATTTTATTGTAAGATAGTAACTAGACAAGATCTTTCAAGTTAATCTAACAATGCTTAGTATAACAGACTGCTTGTAAGTACTTTTAGAAGTAACTGTAAAATATCAAACCTCAAATTAAAATAGTACAAATATATAGTTTAATTTATTAACAAGTTGAATCTAATAAAGGATATTGATATGGCTACTAAAATACAAAAATAATTTTTTATTAAAAAATAATTTTTTAAAAATTTTTAAGTATATAGATAGCTCTACTACTCAATTTTTAATAAATCAATAATTTAATAAAACAAACAATATAATAATATTAACAATTATTAATTATTTGATAATATTTTTTTTGCTTAATTAAATATTTTTTAACAAACTTTAAAAATTTATTTCTTTTAATAAAATATTAGTATATAAGGCTAATAAAATTATAAAAGTAAATATACAAAGTTGATTAAATCTTTGATTTTAATAATATTTTATATAGTTTTCAACTTCTATTTACTAACCTCTATTCAAACACAGCCTTATAGCTTTATTATATTATTTGTCTAAAAAAAAATCTAAAAAATAACAAAATGCAAAATATTAATAAATCTAAATAATAGGCTAAAAATAAACCAAAGCAAACCTTATCAATATCGCATCAATATTGCGTCAGGATTTCATATTTTAATGCATAGCAGTAGCTGCATTGATAATAGGCAAACCTATTATTGCAGATATTTTCTTTTCTAAATTTTGAGAAGAAATTGCATAGTTTATATATATAACTATTTATTGACAAAATTGTTGCCATCAAGAAATTCTAAAATCTTAACCGTAGCTTAGTTTGGCTAAGAGACAACTTTACTAAAAATTGTTTTGGTTTATTCATAACGAGCTATTGATTGCCAATAAACTACCTTTTTTTCTTTAGATAAAGTTTACAAATATAATATAATTTGATTGATCATAAAGTGTTATTCAATTTTATGATATTAACCAATCCCGGGAAAGTTATCCTATAACGTTAAGCTAAAAGTTGGTTTAAAGAAACCCGAGTTTAGTTATTTTGAACCAAAAGTTGGTTCAAAAAGAACTAAATCAGATTACTTTAACCAAGAGTTGGGTTACTTTGAACAAAGAGTTGGTTCAAAGAGAGCCAATTCAAGTTACGTGGAGCTAAGAGTTGTTCAAAGAAACGAATTGGATTATTTTGAACAAAGCATTGGTTCAAAGAGATCTAATTCGGGTTACTTTGAACTAAGAGTCGATTTGAAGAACCCCAAATTGGATACTTTGAACCAAGAGATAGTTCAAAGAAACCCGATTTAGGTTATTTTAAACCAGAATTGGTTCAAAGTATATTCTTTGAACCAACTCTTGATTCAAAGTATCCAATTCAGGTCTTCGAGCCAATTCTTGGTTTAAAGTAACCCAATTTGGTTACTTGAACCTAAAGCTGGCTTATAATAACTTTATTTGGGTTATTTAAACAAAAGCTGGTCCAAAATTTTAGGTTTAAGTAACACGGATCGAACCAACTTTAGGTTCAATTGGACCGAACCGACTTTTTTTAAAAAAACCACCTTGCCATTGCTAACAAAAATAAATAAATAAATAAAATATATCCCATTATTTTTGAGCATAAATGTAAAAATTTTATTACATAAATAAAACAATCTATAAACATATAAATAAATAAAAGAGGTAAAGAAATTATCCCTCCAAAAGACAACCATATATAGCATAAATAGAAAACATAGAAGAAAACGAATAAATAATTAATGTTTATCATTTTCTATTGCCCATATGTGCTTTAAAATAAAATAAATAAGCTTATTAGCAGGGTACTTGAATTGATAGCATCAGTATCAACGTTGGTTAACTTCAGAGTGCACCATTAAACGATCCAATTCAAATGATTATGTAGCATCTTCAATATTGGTTATTATTGTTGGAAGTTATTTCGAGAGTTTAAGCCTTACGTTGAGAATTGATGCTACTGACTATGAGCAAAAATTATGCTCTGAAATGCACGGATGATTTAAGTCAACCGTATGGATTAGGCGAAGACGGATTTATTTAAGTCAACCGTATGGATTAAGTGAAGACGGATTTATTTAAGTCAACCGTATGGATTAAGTGAAGGCGGATATACAAGGAATTTTGCAAGGTAATCGATATGGAATTTGTTGCATTCGCTGGTTGCTGAACTAAACCATATGTTAAATTAAGCAGAGTAGCATAGCTTATATTTTTAGAGATATAGAAACCTCTACCTGGCATGATTCAAGTCTACGTCGGTTTTTTGAGATCACACAAAGAGTATTAAATATATGGAATTGTATATGAACCACGTTACTAAGATAATACTGTAACTATCTATAGTTATATCCATATAGCGAACATGGCATCACAATGTTTTTTTCTACCTCCATACTACCTAATAGCGGATTATTCGATTAATATATAGAGTGCGTAACTTCTACGTTGGACAGGGACACAACGATGGTGGCACGTACCACCCATAC